GTCTGGTGGGTGTAACTCTTCCTTCATTACACACATTCCGAAAGTTAAGGACACTCTTTCCCTGAATGACTATCGTCCAATCAGTCTAATTAGGTGCATGAATAAGGTCATAAGTAAGTTACTCTCAATACGTATGAAGACTGTCATTGGTGGGGTAATCGATGATGTGCAATCATCATATGTAGATGGGCGATGTATACTGGATGGCCCCCTCATAATCAATGAGATCTGCTCGTGGGCAAAGCGTTGCAAAAAAAGAGCCCTTCTCTTCAAAGTTGACTTTGACAAAGCATTTGACTCGGTGAACTGGGAATACTTAGACTCAATCCTTGCTTAGATGGGATTTAGGAACAAATGGAGGATGTGGATTCGGGGATGCTTGAAGTCTTCTAGGGCATCAGTCATCATCAATGGTTCTCCAACTAAAGAATTCTCTATATCTAAAGGAGTGAGGCAAAAGGATCCTCTCTCACCATAGTTATTTATTATTTCCATGGAGGGCTTAAATGTAGCTCTCAAATCTGCCCGGGACAAAGGGATTTTTAAAGGAATTCAAATACCTGGAAATGGACCAACTTTATCTCACTTATTTTACGCGGATGATGCGTTGTTTATTGGTGAGTGGTCTAGAGCTAACCTCAAAAATCTGGCGCGAATACTTAGATGTTTCCATATATCATCGGGCCTCAAGGTGAACTTCCACAAATCAAGAGTATTTGGTATAGGATCCTCCTTGCATGAAACAATGAATTGGGCAAGTTTACTGGGGTGTGAAGCTAAGGTGCTGTCGTTTGATTATCTAGGGGTCCCAGTAGGTGCCAATATGAACCTTAAGAAAAATTGGAAGCCCATAATTAAGAAATTTCATTCCAAACTATCATTATGGAAGGACAAAACCCTTTCTTTCGGGGGCAGGCTAACTTTAATCAAGTTTGTCCTTGGTAATCTTCCTACATACTATTTATCGTTATTTATGGACCCGATAGGAATCCTAGAAGAAATGGAGAAAATTAGAAGAACCTTTTTATGGGATGGCTGTGAAGATAAGAGGAAAATACATTTGGTGGCATAGGATAAAGTCCTAGCGGCTAAATGCGATGGGGGACTAGGTGTGGGCTCGATACAAGCATTAAACATTGGGCTACTTATAAAGTGGTGGTGGCGTCTAAAAAATGAGGGGCAATCTCTTTGGGCTAAGGTAATACACGGGATCCATAATTTGTCAAATAAGCCTTTTGGCTATTTATCTAGACAGAATGTTAGAGGGGTCTGGAGTACCATCGGAGGAGTTAAAAAGCAACTGGCGATGCATGGATTGGGAGTTCATGACGTATTCAAGTTGGAGGTACAATCCGAGAATGAAACTCTATTCTAGTATGATCCTTGGTTAGGGTCAGGGATCCTAAAAGACAAATACCCCTCACTGTTTGATTTGGAAGCTAGGAAGAAATGTTCAATAGCTGACAGAATTTCTGGATCAACCATCTGATAGAATTAGAAGTCTCATCCTTTTGATCTTAGCCATGGGTCTGATGTCCAAGCACTCGCCAATGACCTTTCAGGTGTTTGTCTAGTCCATGGGACAGACCACTACAAATGCAAACTAACGGGGGATGGTAGGTATACTGTTAGTTCTATTCGGAAGATTTTAGATAAACACCCCAGCCCTGTCTTGGGCCCCATGACAATTAATTGGTGTAAAGTAGTCCCCATTAAGGTTCTATGTTTCATCTGAAAGGCTGCACAAAGTCGAATACTTGTTGCTGTCGAATTGGAGTCGAGGGGTACTAAGGTCAATTCTCTGTTGTGCAGCTCGTGTATTGGACAGCAGGAGAATGTCGACCATATTCTCATTAGCTGCCCGTTTGCATCCAGAATCCGAGAGAATATTATGAGCTGGTGTGCAGTAATGCTTGATCAAAACTCATTACGGACTACGGGAGATCTTCTTCATGCTATTTTTGCATGGGGTAGCTATCCCAAGAAAAGAAAACGGCTAATAATCATATGCTATGGAATGTTATGGAATATATGGAGGTTCAGGGACAAACGATTGTTTGATAATGAAGGAGTCACTTTGATCCAGGCGGCTGGAAGTATGAAAACTATGGTATTTTATTGGTATAAGCACAGGGGTAGGAAGGTAATTTGTAATTGGGATGAATGGTTAGTGTCCCTGTTTACTGGTTTGTAATAGATTGTACTCTTATGTATGTTTGTTTTTGGGTTCCTCATCTAATTACTTGCTAGGTGAGGTTCTCCCTTATTAATATATTTGTCGTTTCAAAAAAAAAAAAAAAACTAGTAGGTTATATTTATTTATATTGCCAAGATTATAGCAATATCATAAAAATATAAGGGTTTTGATGGTATCCCTACCATGAAACCCTAATGGCACATTGATCACGTGTGGTAGTTATGTATTATAATATAATGGGAGAAATGACACATTGGCTCTATAATGTGTTGCAGATTTGCCTATACAGTCCCTTAATTTATTTTCGTGCTTTATGAGAGATTAAATTTGTTTTTGTCAAATCTATTTGGTCACTTTGGACAAATTAAAATTGTAACCTGATAACCCTTTTGCCACATAGACTTTGACTTTGAAAAGGCCCACTACTTTTGATACGACCCCTCGTTTCTCCTCCAAACCCATGCCCTCCGATCACCACATAACTCCTCGGATTCTCACCGCTGTCAACAAACCCTAAGCACCATAAATCTTCATCTTCATCTTCGCCTGTAACTCTCACCATTGAATTCGCTCCAGACATCTTCCAACACACATCTTCACTATGCATCACTAGATCAATAGTCAGAAACGCAGACCATAACCATGTGCTAGAAACTTCACTCACTAGATAACACACATCAGACGGACTGCAATTGACTGGATTTTTTGAGTGTAACTTGCTTCCGCCATTGATGACATCTTTGAGATTTGCAATGGATTTTGAACACCCCTGACTTCATGAAATCATTCCATTTTCAATTTGATTTTGAACAATGAATTGCAAGATTAATGTTGCAAAGTCCAAATCTACATGTTAAAACCTCTAATTAGCTAAAATGTTGATCTATGATGTTCTAACAGAGTTCTTAGATCAAATTGAAATTAGGTCATCACCAAACTCATTAGTTGTGATTGAATGACATTAAAAAGGTTTTACTTTGATGGTGCTTTGTTTTGGATGTAAATTTCAAAACTTGGTAGTTTTCATTTTTTTTTTTTTTTGAATTCTCTCTAATAAATGAAAGTTTTTTTTTATCATCTTCTCATTTAATTTGTCAAATGTCATTTTGTGATTAATATATATATATATATATATATATATATATATATATATATATATATATATATATATATATATATAGGGTTAAGTTCAAATGAGAACATTATTTAATGTGAGAACGTGAGAACACTACTTTGTGTTACTATTCTACTATGAATTTAATATGTATAGTATTGTAGTAATTATAATATGAATATATTCAATTTTATATTGTTATTCTATTATAAAATCTATATATATATATGTAGTAATTTAGTAAATTCTAATGTGAATGTTAAATATGTGTTTGTTCATATATTCGGTGATGAATAATATCATAAAGTTGTACATACAAAATTTTAATGTGAATATTAATGTGTGATTGTTCGTATATTTGTTGATGAATAATACCATATCGTAGTATATATACAAAATTCATAGTAGAATAGTAACATAAAGTAGTGTTCTCACGTTCTCACATTAAATAGTATTCTCATTTGAACTTAACCATATATATATATATATATATATATATATATATATATATATATATATATATATATATATATATATATATATATATATATATATATTGTGCATGTCATTTTATAAGTTTTTCTATTTCAGAGTAAATTACCGAAATCGTCCCTATGGTTTGATCAAAATTGCACGTTTGGTCCCTAACTTTTTTTTGCACTCGGATCGTCCCTATGGTTTGATTTTGTTGCGTTGTTCGTCCCCATGGTTTGGTAAAAATTGCATGTTTGGTCCCTAACTTTATGTATGTAATGGACGAAAAATGTAACAAAATCAAACCACAGGGACGAAAAACGCAACAAAATCAAACCATAGGGATGATCCGAGTGCAAAAAAAAGTTAGGGACCAAACGTGCAATTTTGACCAAACCACAGGGACGATTTCAGTAATTTACTCTCTATTTTATTAAATTTTCGCATAATATTTTAATGTAATAATTACACTAAATATAATAATAAATGGTTATCAACTTCATTAATGAACTTACTTTTTAATTTTAAAATTCTTAAAATAAAAACTCATTAGTTTCTTTAATTTATTTAAAGGAAAAATTACTAATCTAGCCTAAAACACTAATTACCTATCAAAAAATAGTTAAAAAAACACATTAGGCAAAAGTAGTTCATGAAGTAGTAGATTGGTCAGGGTTGACTACGGTCAGCGGTAGAAAACTACTCTTTCGTGACAATGGGCTACTGTTTCCCGCCCAATCTACTCTTTCAGAGCTCATTGATCCATAATATATAATGTATAATTTTTCCGATTAGGTTATTTTGACTATTGTTTTCTTGGTTTTACCTACTTTTTTCTCTCAATGGAGCATCCGAACAATGAGGTACGTCAATTTTTTTTATCAAAACTTTACCGTATTGTTGATTAGAAATAGTTTTTATACATGAGGATAACTTTTTTTAAAAAAAAAACAAAAAAAATATATTAAAACCGTAGGTTTCATACAAAACTTACGGTGTACAAGTGCACAATACACAGATTGTTCATTATGGACTTGTACACCATAGGTTTCATATGAAGGCTACAGTTTTATTTTTATTTGTTCGTTTTTGTTTTTATTTAAAGAACAAATTACTGAAATTATCCTTATGGTTTGACTAAAATTGTGTTTATCGTCCCTTGCACACTTGAAAAGACTATATTACCCTTTCTCTTTTCTTTTTCAGTTTTTATATTATTTATTATTTATTTATTAATTAAAAAGTATATTAATAAATATATGGCCCTAACACATACTCTCCTCCATTCCCTTCCCCTCCACCCTTCCTCTCCGTCAACCACCAACATAACCTCCAACAGCACCTTCGTTAACCTCCCAACATCACCACCACTCACCTCAGAAGACCACCACCAGTCACCACACAAAATCAATTGAATTTGAACCAAAAAAAACAAGCAAGCTTCATGTAATCACAATGAAAACCCGAAATCCAACCAAAAAAAACATGTAACCTATAACCAAAATCAAAATCAAACAAGAAATCATGAATAACTAACTGTTCGATGAATTAATGAAAAACTAATCATCCATCTAAAAACACTAACATCGACCTCTAATTCGTCGATATGTGTAATTTGATTTCATCAACAATTCATCAATTAACTGAGTGTCGAGTACTGATGAATCTTGGTCTCGGTTAATAAACTCCTCTGGTCATATCTCATCCCCGGAAAAGCTGAAAAGGCGAAGGATGTTCTGATCAGATTCGTTAACCATACATAAAAAATTTTAAAGAAGAAAGTCCAAGCGTAACGACTTTGGTCGAAGAACTGGTGATTTTCAGAAACGATGAAGGTGGTGGCTTGATTCACTTAAGGCGATGGTAGTGGTGCCTCTTATTTCAGAAATCACCTGTTTTAGTAGCATTATGGTGGTGGCGGCTCTAATTTTAATAAGACGATGATGATGGTGGGAGATTTAAGATACAAGTTCAGTGAAGATATCCGATTTGAGTTCAAGATCTTATATTGCATTGCAGATCTTCGATTTGAGTCCAAGATCTTATATTGCAGATCTTCGATTTTTAATTTAGGCAGTGCAATGGAGGAACAAGAGGGAAAAAGCACAGTGAAGGTGAGTGTTAGGTTACTTATGAGGGTGTACCAATTTAGGGGGAAGATATGATAGTGGCGGCTGGCGGATTATGACGTGTGATATTCACCGGATTTCTGGTCTCACCGGAGATGGCGATGATTTACGGGTTGAGTAAAGGAGTGGTGATAAATGACCAGTAAATTGGAAGAGTCTTGAACGCGTGAGAAGACAAAGGGTGGGTGTGGGCCCATTTTGTTTTTTTATTAAAAAATATAAAAGAAATAATAAAAATAAGTGAAAAAAATAAATTGGAGAGGGCAATATAGTCCTTTCAGGTCAGATAGTAACGAAAAACGCAATAAAATCATATTTTAAGAACGATCCGAGTGCAAAAAAAATGTTAGGGACCAAACGTGTAATTTTAGCCAAACCATATGGATGACTTTAGTAATTTGTTCTTTTTTAAATTTGTTGTAACCTCGTAAACCACTAAATATATGTTATAATTTCATGTTTTTTTTTCAGAAAACTTTAATAAAAATTAGCAAAAACCATAGGTTTTCTGGTGGCTTAAAGGAAAGGAAACCGTAGGTTTCCAAAAAACCTATGGTTTTACAAGTTCAACATGTTTTTTTTTTAATTACAAAACAATAAACCATTTGATGAGACATTAACCCACTCTAATTACTTAGAGTTTTGTGAGCTATTTTGAAATAATTCCTAATTTTTGATTAAAAATGATTAATTACTTCCTTAATTAAGCTAGATTAAGAGTTGTCTCTTATTTAAATTATTTGTTTATACTTAAAAAAATAAAAAACATTTTCATTAAAATAATTAAGTATTTTTCTTATTTTCTTATAAATTCAAAGTTCTTAAATATTTAATATTTATATTTAGCTTTTATTTTTTTAAATTAACTCATGTATATTTCACAACTAGTTATACTACGATATTTTTATGTTTTTGATTGATTTTAAATGCTTGAAACAATGGAAAAAAAATCCGATTTACTTTGTTTGGATTTGCTAACAATGGGTTAAAACCCAAAACCAAAAACCAATGAACCACCTATTAGTTGAAGCCGAGAAATCAAACCCATTTAGAAACCAGACCCTAGATTGGGTTTCTAAAAACCAATATTAGCATATTGGGTTTACCCAAAATCACCTAAATAGAGACATAATTTTAAAATAGGGACAAACTTTGCAAGTTTTCAATTTTAATCAATGATCATATGCAATTTTCATATCCACTTTAGGATTAAGATAAGTTCTGAACAATAAACTGAAATTACCATACCACAATTACCAAAATTCATCGTAAAAACAGGATGATACTTGTAAAAATGTTGTATAAAGTTATACCAAAAGTTGAATTTAAGATAGCAAGCCAAACTTGCAAAATTTCAACATAGAACTTAGATAAAACTCTAAAACCCCATAAAATCCATTACAAAATCTTCAACAGAAAAATCAACAAACAATAACTTCTTAAAAACCACCAATAATCCACTAAGAAAAAGTCTAAAGTAAACAAAGAACAAAGCACTCACTTTTAAACCTCATGGTGGCAAATAAGATCAACACAAGAACTACTCAAATGCTCTCATTCTTCATCATCTTCATCAGCATCACCACCAGAAGCCTTCTTTGCAGCTGCTTTCTGGTTCTTTCGCTTAACTCTACCAGGTCTCCCACCTCCAAATGGACTCGTGAGTGAGAAATCAATGTGCTTCTGTGAATCCACCCTCACCATGAACGATGGAACATTCACAACTTGCCTTCCAACTCTGGTGATTCAGAAAAAATCAAGAAAATGAACTCAGGGAAGATGTTTGGAAGCTATTGAAGAGTGGAGGGAGGTCGAAGTTGTTACCTGATGTGCCTTTGTTTGATGAGGACTCTAGCATGATGTATGCTTTTGGCCATTCCAGTTTTGAAGACGAGTGTTTGGAGACGACGTTCAAGGAAGTTTTCAACAGTGAGGGCAAGAACGTAATCGAGCTTGTTTTGGCTCTCATCCAGCAAACCATACCTGTTCATCCTCCTCATGAGAGCTTCACCTTCGAAGATTCTTCGTGGATCTTTCTCCTCAAGAGTTAGAAGCATTCTTGCAGCATTACGGATTCTGCTGAGTGCATATTGCACCCTCCAGAGCTCTCTTTTGCATCGGAGACCGTATTCTCCGACCAATTTCAGCTCTGCGTCTAGTCGTTCCTTTTCGTAGGGACGACGAGGCTTCTTGAAAGTTTTTCCATCTGTAAGAAGTTCCGGTATCCAATTAGGTTTTTACAGATAGAATACAAACTAAAACAAGATAAACAATAGGTTAATTAGATGCGTCGCTAAACTCATAGAGGTCATGATCTCATAAAAACGAGTAACGAAATCAACACTGTTGGCAAAATTCATCAGACGATAACATCTGTGTCGCTGTTTGCAGTTTAATTTTACATTTATGTATGTGAATTAGATGTTCTAAGACAACATGTACTACAACTAGTTGTTCAAAATCAGAACCTGAAACGTACAGGACTTTTTGGATCAATGTATATAATCGATGTGAAGAACAAAAGCTAAGTAGTATACACTTGCGAGATCGGATTTGAACAAGTGAGAAATGAATACGAAAGAGATCGATTGATCGATGAAACAATAAGACTTACAGTTGCGGTAGAAGGAGACATGCACCATTGTTGCTCGACGTCAATACGGCGTTTGCTCTGCTCCTCCCTCCCCCCGACGGCGACTGCTGCTTCAAGGGTTTGGCTGAGTGGTATTGTGTTAGGGTTATAATGTATTTCTTCATGGGCCGGATTGATTTATGGGTTTGTGTTAAGGGCCATTTTCATTCGAAATAACAGGTCCATGACTCGAGTTTTGTACCTTGTAATACTTTAACTAAAAAAAATCAGTTTGTTTTCATTCAAAAAGAAATAACTCAAGAGAAATGCTAAAAGATATTTGTAATAAATAAATAAATAAAGACAAAATTGCAAGAATGGTCTATGCGGTATGTCCAAAATTGATATTTTGGACCAAATATGTTTTGACTAACACTAATGATCCAAAAAAAATTATTTTGTTGCGATTTTGGTTCATTTTATTTTTATTTTTTATAAAATAACAATTTTTTCATTTTTAATTTCTTTTTTCAATTTTTTATTACATAAATCAGAAAATAAAAGAAAAAAGAAAAGAAAATAAGAAAAATACTCTCTCTCTCTCTCTCTCTCTCTCTCTCTCTCTCTCTCTCTCTCCTAAAAAACACTTGACCTAGTATTTCTCATCCTCTTCCTCCGACGAAGAAAGAAGGATGCCAACCACAACCTTCACAGCCCCTCCCCACCCCTCCGATCGTGTAGCACCACCAAACACTCATCCCTTCACCCCACTACTCCGTCGTTCCCAGACAAGATACTCTCCAAAGAAGGGAGACAACGTCGTAGCAGATAAGGGAGACGACATCGTAGAGGAGATCAGAGATAGGATTTGCACACCATTTTTGCTAGAAAAGTCATTTGTTATCGTATTCGTCCCTTTGTTCCAAATCTACAAACGAGAGCGGCAAAGATGTTTTCCGTTACAAAAAAATGTAGCCATCACTAGATATTTGGGAAGGCTGTCTCAGTTGTGATGGTGTTTACGGCTAGAATACAAACCCAGAGCTTCATATGCGTTCTTGAAAATATCATTTCCATATATATTCATCAAGAATACAAATCATGACAGATCCAAAGGGTTTTTCCTTTTGAAACCCGAAATCAAAATTAGATGTTTTGGAGTTATGAATGGTTTTATGAAGATTTCAGGTTAAGTTCATCAAGATTCCAAAGATTTTAGGTTAAGTTCTGGGGTATGCTCATCGATGATCATTTTTGGAACACAATAACCAAATTTAAAAGAACAAAAATGACAATAATTTTGATTTGCTTCACTATGAACAAGATTTTAGATCTTACGTTTTGGGCTTGTATTTGTTCATACCCAGAACACAAGAACACAATCATCTTAAGTTTTGGGTTTATATTTATTCGAGTTCTAGAGAACCTCCCACATGCAAATTGTTATTCCTAAAATGGGAGTTTGAGATCCACTCACCCGCTTGCAATTTTTTCTCGTTGTAAATCAAATTTGAGACCATATGTAAATTTTTACTCGCTAGAAAATCATCTCACCTGAAATAAATAAATTTTCTGGTGACTAAAGTTTCTGGCTGGTGTTGGTGGCGGCGGTGATGTGGACCGGTGGTGGTTTTGATGGTGCAGAGGACATTGGAGTTTGAAGGTGTATAGGGGGAAAGAGGGGGGGGGAGGGGAGGGAGATATTTTCTTTTATTTTTTATTATTTTTTCAGTTAGAAAAGATTAAATAACAAAAAAGTAAAAAACCAATATAAATGAGCAAATCTGTCATTTTAAGATTTTTTAAACTGTTTTGGACCAAATCTGCTACAAAATGAAAACTTTTGGATTATTGGTGCTAGTCCAATCTGTTTGGCCCAAAGTGGCAATTTTGGACATTTCACGAAGACCATTCTTGCAATTTTGTCTACAAAAATTGTTTTTCGTAGTATGCATTTTATATGAGCATATCAGGGGCAGACTTACAATGGTGTAGTAGGGGCCGCCGCTCCAAAAAAAAAGATTGTTTTTTTTTTAAATCTAATTTACTCTGACATCTTCAAAATAACATATTTTGAAACACTGCATTTTCTCTTTTCTTCTTTTGCAATGAATCATATCCAAAAATGTTTAGTAAAATTCTTAGTTTCATAGTTTGAGTTTGGAATCCCACGAGTGTTCATTCAAATCCCTCAAAACAGAACTCTGATACCAACTTATAACATCCCAAAAACCCAAGCTAGATTTTTCATTTTTAAAATGATATAACATCCATTTATAGTAAATTTACATTCAGGATAAATCGTTATTCTAAAATCAAAGTTAATAAGAAGACAATGTGGAATCTCAAATTATAAATCAGTTGATGTGTGTGTACAGTCCCGCCTTCGCAATCCGATAAGTATCTACAATATATTTAATCCACAAGTGTAAGCAAAAAAGTTAGTGATTTCCCCAAATGCATAAAGCACATCATAACAATCAGCTGCGGCTTACCAGCAACCATAGGGATTATTAACGGTTCCAGTGAGCTAGCAACATGCCTCATGGGTTATCAGCAACCCTATGAACTATCAACAATCCTATAGACTCACAACAGTCTGGAAGTTATCAGCAACTCGATTCACATATAACAATAATCAACAAAATAATACTTAACTGATCAACAAGTATATACTATCACACATGCAAGTATAGTGAGAAGACTCACCTCGCAAGTAGCAGCAAAACATCACATCTCTCATCCAACAAAGACTGATCCTACATGGCACCTAACATCAATAAAGAGTACCCTCTGAGTCTACACTCCAAAACCCTTACGTTTGACCAAAACTCGATCCATGTCCAAAGTCAATGGTCAAAGTGATGGGTTTTGAGCATTCTAACACTCCTATGGTGTACATGCAACCCTATAAACCTTGGATCTATGTTTTCTCTAAGATACATGCAAATAATAATTTTCCAAGGTTTACATCCTAACTAACATGTTATGGGGTACTTGAATCATAAAACACTAGTAGAATTACATATATTTTAGTTGTGGTTGATTGTTTGGAGTTTGAGAGCCTAGCACCAATAATGTGGATGCCTCAAATCGAAGTCACAAATCACCACAAACTTTGGAAGCTTGTGAGAATAGTAACACACTTCTAGATTCGCCCACACTTTAGTTCTCACAGACACTAGTGCCATTTCAAGTTCCAAGGACCCCTTTATATAGTGTGGTGGATTAGGGTTACATTAATGTAAACCCTAATACCCATGACCTTTCATTTCCATGAGATCCACGGGTTAAAGCTCCATGGACTTTCCATGCAAGCCTAACCCATTTTAAATAAGCAATATCCCACATTATATAAATACAAGAGCCCATATTTAATTAGTCACCTTTTTTATCACTAAATTAATTCTAAATTAATTTTAGATCGATACTAATTAAATATTATAATTTCATATTAATATATTAGAACTTATAATATATTAATAAATAATAAACATACAATTCTCAAAAGATTATCCATAAATTGTTCGGGTGAAGTGCAACCCAAATTGACCATGTCGGGTCGGATCAAGTACATCTCAAATATAGTTATGGACTTAGACACCTTATCCAACAGTCTCCCACTTGGATAAGTCTAATAACTATAGTTGCAAGCATGACTTCAGGAACCGACCAACAATCGTAGCTCTTAAACTTTGTTGAACTATGAAGCACCATTTTAGATAAGATATCATATAATCCTTTGTTTTAGATATCAGCCGGACAGAAACATGGAACAATGTCGTACCTATTGTCCAACAGTTTGTTTCCCGATTTCCGTTTTGTTTGACATATAACTTAATTGAACACATCACTTTAGTTCTGACCGGGCCCGGTACATAGGTCAAAACAAAATCATCGAGGGGCCCAGATATTGCTTCTAATCCAAGAGGGAACAGATAAACTTCGACTCATATGCTTGTTCTACTATTTTTTGAATTATACACAAAGGTACATTTTATGACATCAAGTTATTGATGTGTTTTCGTACAATCAATGCATAACCAACTCATAGGCAACAACTCATAACTCTAGGTTTGAAGACTTATATGGTATTACCATCTCACGATCACTCGAGATAAATTCCATGAAGTGATACATGTGAGCGCGGGTTGAATCCAATACTCAGAACTTATGAGCACTCATGAATGTTATAGCAACTCTTGCTATGTCCAACACCTTAGACATCTACAAACTAACTTCATGACAGTCTTGATTCATATTTACTTCCAATATATGACCTACTGTGGAGAATTTGAATAACATGAAATACCATAACATAATTATTCTGGAAGTCAAAACATGCAAAATGAAATGATAGTAAACGATTGACAAAAGATAGCAACACTTTACTCATAAATAAACAACTTTTATTCATCATCAAATGTCAATTATACTTTACAAACTTCAAAACTATCTAATCTGTAAAACGAATATCGTCCTTTAGCCCAATGCGCCTCGCATGCTGCAAATGCCTAACCCTAGTCAGTCCCTTCGTGAGGGGGATCTGTTGGGTTCTCCTCTGACGATATCCTCTTTGATACGAGGAGTCCTTTTTCTATCTTGTGTCTTATGAAGTGATATTTTATGTCAAGGTGTATGGATCTACCATGATCTCTCGGTTCCTTGGCTAAGGCAACCGCACTATTACTGTCACAGAAAATCTCCATAGGCTCCTTTGTAGCTGGTATAACTCCAAGGTCTCCGATGAAGTTCCTCAGCCATATCGCCTCCTTAGTCGTTTCACTCGCTGCTATATACTATGATTCACATGTCGAATAAGCTATTGTATCCTGTTTGGAACTTTTCCAAGTAACTGCTCCTCCATTCATGGTAAAGACCCAACCCAACTGATAACATAAATTATCCATATCAGTCTAAAAGTTAGTGTCACTATACCCCAAACTCTCAAGTCATCACTCCCACCAAGGGTAAGAATCCAATCCTTAGTCCTTCGCAGGTACTTGAGAATGTTTTTTTACCGTAGTCCAGTGAGCCTTGCTAGGATTCCCATGATATCTGCTGACCATGATCAAAGCAAAGGCCACATCAGGGTGAGTACAAGTCATATCATACATGATCGAGCCAACAGCGGAAGCATATGGTAATCGACTCATCTCAGCTATCTCATCCTTTGTACACGGGCTCTAAGCCTTGCTCAGTTTTGCATTA